AAACCAGGGACATTGGTGGTGGGAAATGGACACTGGGTTCTTTGAACAGGGCCCACCCTGTTCAAAGAAGAAATGGATGTTGGAACATTCTCTGACTGAAACCCAATCATGAACAACTTTGTAACTGTGTATCTCATGGTGATTCAATTTTTAAAAATCTCTAAAAAAATAAATAGCACTGTAGCACTGTCCTCCCGTTGTCCATCGATCTGCTCGAGCGGGCACCAGTAACGTCTCCATTGTGAGACTTGTTGTTACTGCTATTGGCACATTGAATATGCCACGAGGAGCTCGTCAGGCTCTACCGAAAAAAATAAAATTTAAATGACACGATATTTTTACAGAAAAAAAAAGACTCAGTCACCTCAGTCACTGCTCTATCTCCCCATGTCCCCGAGTTCAGCTGTGTTACACACACACACACACACACACACACACACACACACACACTGCCCCATCTCCTGTAAACTGATTCTCCAGGGAGAAAACCTCAGATGTGCCCAGGTGCAGTCGACCCGCTAAGCAAAGGTGGGTCCCCTCGATGGCTCCACACCCCAGTGGCTCTCCATTACCAGCACCACCTGCTCCCTTGACACTCCGTCCCTGGGGCTCCTCCATCACCACTTGTGCTGCCGGTCCCGGGACTGTGAGATCAGCCAAGGCGTCTCAGGGCGCCTGTGGGTCTGGACAGCACAGTCATCCCTCCTGAGAGTGGACAAGACTGATCACACAGTGAGGAGGGCACTTGCCTTGCACACAGCTGACCCGGGTTCCATCCCTGGCACCCTATAGGGTCCCCACCAAGCACAGCCGGGATTGAGTCCTGAGTGCAGAGCCAGGAGTCCGTCCTGAGCGTCACCAAGGGTGACCCCCAAGAAAAAGAGAAAAGAAAGAAGAAAAGCATCACGAGGAGTGATTGGCCAAAAGCAGGCAGGCGGGAGGCCCTGAGTTGGGCCCCTAGCACGGGCAGGGCCCCACCTCCACCTCTTGGGCATCACTCTGGACCGCCAGGCATTGCCGAACGTGGCCTCTAGGACTGACAGAGAGAGAAAGAAAGAAGGAAAGAAAGAAAGAAAGAAAGAAAGAAAGAAAGAAAGAAAGAGAGAGAGAGAAAGAAAGAAAGAAAGAGAGAGAGAGAGAAAGAAAGAAAGAAAGGAAAGAAAGAAAGAAAGAAAGAAAGAAAGAAAGAAAGAAAGGAAGAAAGGAAGAAAGGAAGGAAGAGTAGGACTGTGACACACTCAAGCCGGAAGAACACACGCTTTGCCAGTGACCTTGTCCACTCTGGCCTGAGCAGACCACCTGCCTCCGCCCGCCTTCTCCGTGGTCTTCCTCACATTCTCCCTCTCCTCATAGGCTCCTTTTATAACCCAGGGGCCTGTTCCGGGGCCGCTCTCTGGAGTCTGACACGGATGGGCTCTCAGAAACCCACCACACTGAGGGGACATGCGCAGGCCCAGGCCCAAGGCCCAAGGACCTTCCCAGAGTCTGGGGGCACGGGGGATGTGTGTATGTGTCAAGTCTGCCAGCTGCTCACTGGCCAACCTCAGTCATGTGGCTTATCTCAAGGTCAAGGAGGCCCCGTCCCCGAGACATGAGTCCACGTTGTGTATGCGCACGTGTGTGCATGTTGTGAAGAACAGGGGCCAGAACTCAGTGGTGCACACCCGTCCCCCACCTTCCTGGAGGGACTAGAGTCCATTCCACAAGGAGCCTCTCAGAGGCACCCAGAAGTGGGGGGTGGCACAGAGCAGGTGGGACCCTGGGGGGAACTGGCTCTGCCTGGCTCTGTCCCTCCCCTGTCTCTGGGCTGAGAGACAAAGGGGGAGGTGGTTCCTCCCCATCTGGGCATGTCCCCAGTGGCCGACCCACAGGAAGTGACTTCAGGGATAGCACAGCGGGGAGGGCTTGCACACCTTGCATGCGGCCGACCCAGGTTCGATTCCCAGCATCCCAGCATATGGTCCCCCGAGCACCGCCAGGAGTAATTCCTGAGTGCAGAGCCAGGAGGAACCCCTGAGCATCGCCGGGTGTGACCCAAAGAGAAAAAAAAAGGAGAAGAAAAGAAAACAACAACAAAAACCCACAGGAGGTGACTTCAGGTGAGAGTTCAGGTCCTCCCAGCTCTGAACCAGAGGGTGGGTTTGAGCATCTCGGGGCTGGAGGGGGAGGTGGCTCCTGGGTCCCTCTGTCCTGCGGAGGGGCCACGGGCTGGAAGCTACCCATCTGCCCACACCAGGTCCTGTTTACAGCCATAGCCGGTCTTCTATTTTTGGTGGAGGGCACTGGCTTCCTGTTTAACATGCGGATATAGGACTTCCGTTTAAAATAAGTCCAGTTACATAAACATAGATGATTTAGAGACGAATTGCAAGAGGAGGACGGATCGGGCGGCTTGCGGGTTTGGCAGGAATTAAGGAAGAGCTTCCAGGGGTGGGGGAGAAGAGGGCATAGGATTCAAAGCCAGAGTCGCCCCGAACCCATACCCTTGGGGCCAGTTTCTCCAGAAGCGACTCTGCCTCGGTTTCTCCATGGACGATATGAGGCTCACCAGGAGGGATGGCAGGGCACCGTGAAGGGCGCAAACCCAGGCATTCTGTGTCCTTCCCCGCTGTCCTTGCTGGTGGCCGGACCCCGCCTGGCTCTGCCTCTCGGCAGCTGGACCTTCTTGCCCCATGTCCAGCACTGCCAAGAATCTCTCACTTGGGCAGTGGGGCTCAATCAGTTGTGAATTTCAGAATGAAAGGGACGGGCGCTAGTGGGAACCCTCAGCTGGGCTCGGCACCTCTCGGAGAGAACAGAACATTTCCATGGGCTCTAATTCAGCGACAGTGGCCTGGCCACTACAGAACCTCCCTGCAGTGCTGGAAAAAGAGACGGAAAAACTTGGACTCACCCCATAGTCTGGGGGCTCCATTGGCAGTGCTCAGGGGGACCTTGCAAATGCTGGCCACAAAACACAGGCTCCTGCGTGCAAAGCATGCATTCCAGTGCTTGAAGCCGTCTCCCTGGCCCAAACCAGCGCTTGCTTTGGGACCACCTCTGGGGGTGCCCGGGGCCACCTGCAGTTGGGTGCTCAGGGAGCACTCCCGGCTGTACTTGGGGAACGAATTTGGGGCTCCCACCTGCAAAACCTGTGCTCGAGCCCTTTGGGCAACTCCCCTGACCCCCAAACAAACACTTCTTACGGGGTTTCTAATCCTTTTGTCAGTGGCACAGCCTTGTACTTCGGGGTGTGCTCTGACACACGTTACTGCAGGGATTACAGAAGAGCGTTCAGAGGGAGAAGTGGTGTGCAGAGGGCACCAGCTTCAAATCCGGTCATCAAGATGGGCAGGAAAGAGAGGACAGAGCGGTGAAGAGCTGCTTTGCAGGTGGTGGGCCTTGGCTTGATCCCAGGCACCTGAGACCTTCCAGAAATGATCCCTGAGCACAGAGCCAGGAGTCAGCCCTGTGCAGTGCTTGGTGTGGCTCCCGGCTCCCACCTACCCCGCCCCCCAAATACACACGTACACACACACACACACACACACACACACACTGCTGTACGCTGTGACCCTGTTTTAGGATTTCTTCAAATTTTGTTTATTTTGGCCACACCCTGTGGTGCTCAGGACTGACCGGTGGCTCTGTGCTCAGGGATCACTCCTGACGGGCCCCAGGGACCATAAGGGGTGCCAGGGATAGAACCCAGGTCAGCCACATGCAAGACAAGTGCCCTACCTGCTGTAGATTACTCTGGCTCTATACTCGGGGATCACCCCTGGCAAGCTTAGAGGACCAGTTGTCGGCTGCCTGGTCACATGCAGGGCAAGTGCAGGCCGGCTGTGCTGTCCCAAATATGTGACCCACCCTGCTAGTGACCAGCTGTGGCATGACTCCTGCACCTCTTCAATGTTTATTTATGTATCGATTTTATTTATTTATTTATTTATTTTTGCTTTGGAGTTGCACCCAGTGCTTCTCAGAGTTTATTCCTGGCTCTGTGCTCAGGGGTCACTCCTTGCAGACTCAGGGGACCAGAGAGGGTGTCAGGGATAAACCTGGGAGCAAGGCACACAAACACCCTCCCCTCCCCCAGTCCGACGGCTCCGGGGGCCCCCATTTTTTCCCTTCGGTTTTTAAAACTGTAGCTTGAATCCCTCTCACCAGGCACGGGGTCTCTCCCCAGCCCCTCCCCCGACATAGCCTCCCGGGCCCATGAATCCTCTTCGTTTCTGAAAGCTCAGACTGGAAAGAAAAATGTTCCTTCTCGTTTGATTTCCAGGGACAAGAAATCCCCAGAGTGCAGGGGGAGCAGGGCATGTGTGTAAACCGAGGGGAAGGACGGAGCCAGGGCGCCCGACCACTTCCTGCAGAGCCAGGCCCCCGCCAGAGACGGGTTGGTTGGAGGCCCCTTGCCCGGTGCCAGGCCCCCGAGCCCAGGGGAGACGCAGAGCCAGAGGCAGGGCGGGCCGCCGGGCTCACGGGCTCACGAGGCGCGCAAAGCCCGGGCCGTGGAGAGGGCACGCCAGGGGCCTGGCGGGGACCCGGACTCCACCGCCAGCAGCCAGGGTGGTCCCCAAGCCCCGACAGAGCGCCCCGAGGAGCTCCGCCGGGTGCGGCAGGAAAACCCAAAGGGAAAAAAGAAAGTGCTTGAAGGCGGGACAGGAATTCCAGACCCCGGGAAGGGAAGAGGAGGTGTGGAGGGGGAAGGCTGGGGTGGAGGTGGGGGCGCAGCGCGGCCCCCGGGCCCAGCTAGTCCCTCTCCGCTGAGCGGCCGGGGCCTCCCGCTCTCTCCGCCGGGCGTCGCCCACCGCGCCCCGGCGGCGGGCGGGGCCGGGGGCGGGGGGCGCGCCCGGGCCTCCCTCTGGCTCGCGGGGCGCCCGCCGGACACCCCGCCCCGGGAGGCGGGGTCGGGAAGGAGGGGGCGCGGGGAGGCGCCCGGCGCTCGGGGCCGGCCCAGACCTTCAAAACAGCCCGGTGGCCTCGCCTCGCGCCCCAGCCCGTCGCCTGCTGTCGCCGCCAGCGCCCGGTGAGTCGCGATCGCGCCCGCGCGCCGCGTGGGGGACACGCGCGGGGGCGGCCCCGGCCGGGCCCGTGCGCCCCCGCGCCCCAGGGGGGTCCCCGAATGCCGGCGGGGGCCAGGGCGGGGCTCGTCGTCCCGTCGCCCGTTGGGGCGCGGGGGCGTCAGCTTCCCGCCCGCGCCGCGCTCCCAGGGGACCCCGATTCCCGCGTCGCGCCCCCGGCCCGATTCTTTCGTCGTTGGCGCCGCGCCGGGCGGGCGGCGGGCGGGCGGGAAAAGTTTTGGGGAGGCGTCAGGGCGACTCCGCGCACCACCCGACGCCAGCCCGGGCCCGCACCCCGGGCCCGGGAGGGTCCCCGGCCCCCATCGCACCCGCCCGGCGTGCGCACTGGCCTCACGCGGCGGGCGGGCGGGCGGCGCGGGGTGCGCCCTGGCCGGGCCAGTGAGTCCTCCGGGCCCTGCGCCCCTGGCGGCTCGGTGGCGCCCCCAGGCGTCGGGTCCTGAGGTCTGAAGAGAGGTGGGGGTGCCCTACACCGCGGCCTAGATGACTCTGGAGCGGGGTGGGGGGCTTCGAGGGCCCCGGCCGTGGGCTCCGGAGAGAAAGGAGGATATGGAAGGACAATGCGCTCTGGGCACAACCAGGGCGGTCCTAACTGGGGGTTTACCTGGGGACCTCATGGACGCGCGCCGTTTAGGGATACCATACTGGGGAGGGGGTCTTTCGGAGCAAACCTGCCCCCCAGACCACTGAACCCACCCTCCTATTTCTGAATAGGGTTGGCAGCCCAGTTTCAGTATTGGAGAAAGGAGCCCAGGTCCCCTCTATCACGCACGCCCCCCCACAAGCCCCACAGACCGTACATGTGTGTGTGTGTGTGTGTGTGTGTGTGTGTGTGTGCGTGTGCGTGTCGCATTTTGCTGGGACATAGCCTGCAGGAAAAGTGGGGCCTTGGAGAGGGGACGAAGCCAGCGTTTCCGGCCCAAATCTCCTGTTTCCAGGCTCTGAAGTTGCGTGGCTGAAACCAGAAGGAAGACCCTCAGGCTGGGGGCAGGGGTGCCTGCTGAAGGGAGCAGAGTCCTAGCACAGAGGGGGCTGGGGTGGGGGGTGCCGCGGGGTCCCTGCGCCGCCCATGCCTTCCCGGCCCAGGACTGGTGCGCTCAGAGTGGGATGAGCAGGCCCCGTTTTCTGCCAGGGCTTGAGCGGACCCACTCGCTTCCAGGGGGTTGAGCGGACCCGTGTGCTTCCAGGGGGGTGAGCGGACCCGTGCGCTTCCAGGGGATTGAGTGGACCCGTGTGCTTCCAGGGAGTTGAGCGGACCCGTGTGCTTCCAGGGGGTTGAGCGGACCCGTGTGCTTCCAGGGGGTTGAGCGGACCCGTGTGCTTCCAGGGGGTTGAGCGGACCCGTGTGCTTCCAGGGGGTTGAGCGGACCCGTGTGCTTCCAGGGGGTGGGCGGACCCGTGTGCTTCCAGGGGGTTGAGCGGACCCGTGTGCTTCCAGGGGGGTGAGCATCCTGGTGTGCTGGGCGCTGGACCACAGTTGCAGAGCACCAGCCCCTCTGCCTGCGGGGCTGATTCCATCAGGCTTCCCAGAGGCCATTCGCGGTGGCGCGTGGCTGGCAAACCACCTCTCGGGCCATTTATTCCTGAGATAAAGCTGGAGGGGAGGGGACAGGTGCCCCATCTCCTGAGGAGTCCGGGAGGCCGATGCAGCATGTAGGGTGCCCTGGTGCCCTCGGAGCTCTCCAGCCTCTCCTGTCCTCCCAGCCGCACGCCCAGGTGCTGGCCCGTGGGTTTCCCAAGGTCCCCGCGTGCCTACGAAACCTTCAGCTGCTTCTCCCAGTCCACCCCACTGCCCCAGCCGCGCCTTTTTCCACCTGGAGATGACCTGCTGGGTTTCAGGAGATGGGGGGAGACAGGGTCCCCACCAAGTTTGCAGGGGCCAGGGCAGAGGCCTGGCCTACAGCCGAGGGAGGGGCGCCTGCGGGGTGCGGGGTGCAGGGTGGGGGGTGTGGGCTCGGCTGGAAGGCGCAGAACCTGTTTCCCCGCTGAAGGGTTTTGGGCCCCTGGGCCTCCACCTTCTCCACCGGGGACTGGAGAGCGGGGGTGGGAGTCCGAGACTAGGTCACACCGCCTGGAGCCGCCTCTGTCCTGCAAGTGGGGACATTGCGTTGCGCTTGCAATCTGAGGATCAGTGTTTGGGTTGGAAGCTGCGGAGGGCCCCGGTGGGCCAGGTGGGCGGGGTGGGCGGGGCCAGGAGGGATGGGGCGGGAACGTGTGGGCGGGGCCAGGAGGGATGGGGCGGGGCCAGGAGGGAAAGGGATGGGGTGGGACCAGGTGGATGAGGCAGGGCCAGGGAGGATGGGACTAGCCTGGGCTGGGCTCCTGGGCTGACCGGTCTGCCCCACCTCACTGGGTTAGAGTACGGCTGATGAGAGGCCCAGAGCCCCCCAGAGGCATTAATGCTGAACGCCCCACTCCCCACCCCTCAACCACTACCCCCTCCACACACACGCACGTATGCACGGGGCCCTTTCTCCTGGCTCCCCAGCGTTTCTCCTGGTTTCCGTTCTCCACCCTGGGCTGGAACCACGTGGCCTGGCTCTGCTCCCAGGGCTCACCCAGCACACGCTGACTCCCCTGCCCTCCCTCTCCTCCACGCCTTCCTGGTCGCTAGGGACCCAGCCACAGCCAGCTCAGCCCCCCCCCCCACACACACACACATACACCCCCCAAACCCTGCCTGAGGTGACCGGGGCAGGAGGTGTATTTAGACAAATAGACAGAATTTATTTTCCAGACCAGATGGACAGGCCCCGGGCTCGGTGCCCGGCTGGGTGCCTGTGCCAGAGGCAGAGTTCAGCCTTGCTTGGGGTGCTGGGGTTGGGGGCGGATCCCTGCGTGTCTGTTGCAACACGTGAAGTCGCAGCTCTGTGGCGTGGGCAAGGACGCCCGTCTCTCTCCCAGGCTTGGGGCCTCTCCGGCCGTTGGGATCAGGGGTGATGGTAAGGGGACGCAGGCCTGGGCACTGGCACTGGGGGGGGTGTATGCAGAGACCTCCTGTAAGTGGACAGCGATGGGATTCGGAGCAGGAGGACAGGCTAGGGGAAGTTGGTGGCAGCATCTGGAGGCCCTTAGAGGTTGGCTTGGGCGCATGCGGGAATGGGACAGGACGGCGGTGGGATTGGCGGGGGGTGTCGGAATCCCGGATCCCGCCTTGGGATGCACTCTGGCCTCCTAGGATGGTTCTCTAGGGTGGGCAGGATCTCCCAGCAGGGACGCTTCCCAGGGAGTCCGGCTCTGGCTAGGGACGTAGTGGGGTGGGTCGGGGGGGGGCCTCTAAAAATACCGGTGGCCCCAGCTGCCACCCACAGAGAATGCCGCCTGATAACTCGAAACCGAGGGCGGGACCCTGGGCCACAACGACAGCACTGGCCTTGCCCTGGCCCCGAATCAAAGGGACAAGAGCTCTCTGCATTCCAGCCGCTGGGGCTAAGAGGGGAGAACTCGGGGGACGGAGAGCCTGAGAAGGCCCCGGAGAGGCAAGGTGGCAGCCACAGTCCCAGGGCAGCTCACCTGTCCACTGGGGCGGGGTCACCGAGGGTCCTGGGGGCTGGTGGCTAGCTCACGGGCAGATGGGGACAGGGAGGGGGTCAGAGACACATGCTCAGGTGATGGCGGGTGCTCTGTGAACCCAGCCTGGACGTGGTTTGGAGCTGGGCAGGACACAGGTGGAAGGGGAGTGGAGGAGGAGAAGCTGCTTTGGGTTGGATTGGTTCAAAGGAATTCCTGACCCGAATAGCCATACTCCCCCTGAATGACGGGGTTTGTGGGCCTTTCCCTTGCTTGGGAGGCCAGGTTTCTATTAATCTAAAAGGGAAATGAGGGTCCAAGGATGACCCACATTCCTGCTCTTGGGCTGGAGCGATAGGACAGCGGCCAACCCAGATTCAATCCCCGGCATCCCCCATGGTCCCCTAGGCACCGCCAAGCGTGATCCCTGAACTCAGAGTCAGGAGTAGGCTCTGAAGGCCACCAGGTGTGACCAGACAAACAACAACGAAACTCCGCCACTAAATTCCTGCTCTCTACGGGCTGGGTGGATGGCCATCAGTTTCTAGAAGCTTCCTTGGACAGGGAGCGAGCTGGAGGAAAGGTCACCGGGGTGAACTGTGGCATCGAGATTCCCAAGATGTTTGTCCCCCACTTGGCTATCGTGGCAGGAAGTAGAGGCAAGGGTAAAACCCGGCATGAAAAGGCTTCGAGGGAGTTCTCCCTGGGGGCCCCTGGAGGGGAGGCAGGTTGGAGATCTGCCTTTCTGATCCCAAACTGCTTGGGCCGTCTCTTTCCTAGCAGCGAGTGAAGGATCTCTCCAGGATAACCGAGATCCCGGGCTGTCTTGTTAATCTTCCACTAATGAATGTTTCACAGCCTGTTATCACCGGCGGTACAGGCGATAATTGTAAGAGGTCCGCGGCCGAACATAAAACAAAAACAAGAAAAAGAGAGAAGTAATTATGTGTTTCTCTGGCTTGTTCTGAAAAATCAAAACACACAAACAGCACACGTAGCCATCCCTTTATGATAAAGACTGCTAAGTCGGGGAAAACCAAGTCGATTTCTTTGTTGTGGGGCCCACGCCCGGCCGTGCTCAGGGGCCAGAATTGAGCCTGGGCTTCCTGTGTATAAAGCAGGTACACGTGCCCTTTGGGGCATCTCCCCAGCCTTGAAACACGTGCAGGTGGGCGTCGGGTCCCACCCGGCGATGCTCAGGGGTTCCTCCTGGCTCTGCACTCGGAATCACTCCTGGCGGTGTCCAGGGGATCCTATGGGATGCCGGGGAAGGAACCCAGGTCGACTGCGTGCCAGGAAAATTTCCTACCCACTGTACTATTGCTTCAGTCCCCATTTTTAAAAATCAGCCAAAGAATGAATGAAGAAGAGCTTGGAAAAATCCTGGTTTCCCTGGACAAAGAGAGTCTTTGATGCTTTGTACTTTTTTTGGGGGGGG